GAGGTGAGACAGACGCAGGTGGCGTGTGACGTCAATCTGAAGAGGAGAGCAGTCGTGATCGTAAAAATTTTCACGACTCCTGCAAACATTTTCACGACTCCGACAGACCGTAAAAATAGAAGCGTCCGCTTCAATTTTCACGATTTGTCGGAGTCGAGGGTTTTGTAGTGTCCTGTTTGGACACCCCTTTACTGGGTGACGAGCCTCTTGTCCCAGTCTCACAAGTTTTCAATTTTAGAGCGCAGCTCTTAGGCGCCCGTTTCCGGCTTGAGCGGCGTCGCTGTCGTCGTCGGCGTAACCAAGGTCACCCAAGGTCATGTGACCCCTCACAAGGTCACATGACCCCCCCCCCAAGGTCACGTGACCCCTCGATGACGTCATCGTCCCTGATGACGTCACCGGCATCCGCATTGTCATCGTCATCATCACTAATGACGTCATCGGTATCCGCATCGTCATCGTCACTGATGACGTCATCAGTGACGTCACTGATAACATCATCGGCATGGTCATCGTCACGTGACCCCCCCTTCGGTCATTGACCCTCCCCCCAGTACCCTTCCCTCCTCATCCTCAAGAGCTGCGCTCTAATTCGGCGTTACAGGGAGTTGTAAACGGCTTCCACTTTTTTTTTGGAAGAAACTAACATTCTGTGGAAATTATAAGTCTCGTTCCTAGTAAGGTCCGCTTTGAGGCTTTAGTCAGTCCTTAAAGAATGTAGGCTTCCTTTACACAATGTTTCTGGCGCACTATGGCCCCGATGCTGCTGCGCCAAAAAACCCCAAAACCACCACCTTTCCAGAAAAAGTGTGGCGTCATAGAGGCTAAGACTCAGGGTCCGCCTAACTGCAAGCATGTGCCGGCATGGTAGCCGCATGGCGTTCCAAAAAGAACAACTGCAGTTGGTTGCTGTTGTAGATATGTTTCCGGATGATGACTTGAACGTGAACGCGTCTGCTTGATGGTCTATTGCCACCTGCTTGGCTGACAGATGGATCTGTTCCCTCACGAGCTTGAAGGCATAGGGAGTCAATGATTGCTGGTACATTGTTTCTTCGGGGCTGGAAGGTGGCCTACAGGGCCTCTTGGATATGCTCTTCAAGGGAGCTGTTTTTTTTTATCACACTCTTGAGCTTTCCATTTACGCTTTCGATCCTGTTGTTTGTGGTATTATTGAAGTTTTCAGACATAAACTTTGGTCCGGTATACCACTCATCCTTGATGGGTCGCCAGTTTTTGTCGTAGTAGGAGCGGATCTCTTTTCAAACCTTTGTGTCGAATTCTTGTTGCAGCTCCTCGAATGTTTCACTTGATCGTGACAACACCATCTTCTGCAGCAGTCCCAGGGCTTGGTCCCTTTCCTCTGCAGTGATGTCCATCTTGTTGCAGGCGATTTCACGTCGAAAAGTCTTCAAAGTATGGAACACACAGATCGGAACCTTTGAGCTTGGGAAGCTCTCCTTGAGAAGGTCACGCTCCAGGAGGTCTTTGTCTGCCATGACACACTTCACCTTTCTCCACGACGGGTGCAGTTCCTTGAACTTGTCAAACATCTACCTGAGACAGGGTGCAGACTCGTTGACTAGAATGGCCACACATACAGTCTCTGTATCTCCATTAGAGTCCTCAACGTGCATCACATACACTGGTGTCCGAATTTCCAGGAGCTTGTACGTGGCGTCGATGCTTAGGGATTCCGGGTAGGCATTCATGTTGGACCGCATAGACTCATTGGACAGCAGGATAGCAGACGCTCATAATTCAATCTCGCGTTTGATTCCGTTGCCTGCGGGACGGGATTTCTATCAGAAAATCTACTTTTTTTCCTTTCGGTTCCGAGACACATTGTAGCAGACGAACACTCGTCGTCTGCTCCCGCCCCTCGCCTGAGTGAGGCATGACGGGATTGCATTTTGATGCACTCCCGATTTCCTCGGTGCAGCGAGTGCAACCACTCGTGGAGTGCCGGCTGAAACGAACCCGCTCCACGCTGCGAGTGGGCACGCGTGGGCACGAGTGCCGTGAAACGAACTCGCTATAAAGCATGTTCTGGCTAGGCTGTATGAAGCAAGCTGCGAGGGCGGCTCGCATTGCATTTGCTGCATGATTAAACAGTAATTCGACATGACACTTTTTTATTCCGATCACGAAAGTAAGCTCCAGCAGGCGAACTGGATGCACCATCCTGTACACTCATACACCCTGTTGATGTTTAGCTCACAATACTAACTGTTCTGCTCGAGAAAACTATATTATAGTGACTCATTTTAACATATTCTATACACACTATGTGGTATTATTAGTGCCTGGCTATTAAATGCGACAAAAATCATCAGAAACCAACGTTATTTCCACACGCTCCCATTGCCTTCCATAGTGGCCGCCGCGCTTTTGATGTTGAGCTAGCGCAGCGCCTAGCAGAACACCCGGTCGTTCCAAGCATTTCATGTGATATTCCTTGGCCTGCGCGCTCCCATAGGGAAACGCGGAGTGACCTGGTCGCTCCTAATAAAGCCAGTCGTGGACTGAATATTGCCTTTGCAATATTCAGTCATTTGCTTGAACTTGCAGCTACATTCGAGGGGTTCCGGAAGAAATTTCTCCAGAAAGAAAGTCCCCAGAAAAAATTTCCCTGGAAAAAAAGTTCCCAGAAAATATACCCCTGAAAAACAAAGGCCCAAGAAAAAGTACGAAAAAATGTCTCCAAGGTGTTCTCTATCGCTTGGTTTAGCCCCATTTTCATTGCCTTCAGGAGGTCCTGTCATTATCCTGTCACAAATGACCTGACTTACCTAGAGGTAGAAAGGGAGACTGGCAGTCACACAAAGCAACCAAATAATTGTGTTCGCCAAAACCAAAATATTGGTTGTTTTTTTTGTTTTTTTTCGTGTGAAATTAACATTTATAACTTTTTAGCAAAAACCAAAATATTGTGTTTGGGGAAACTTGAGAGGTACTTGTGTACCATTTCCAAATAGGTAAAAAGCGCTATACTGTTGGCACAAACAAGCGATCGCTAGTTTTTTTTCTCATAGAGAGGAAAGGTTGTCATCAAAGTTACCATAGGTACTGAAAGTGCTTATTTGGGGATATAATGCAGACGGTAAAATTTCGTTCCCACTAATACTCTTTCAAAGAGAAATGTGAAAATGCGCCGAAGTCGTGTTCGCGCTAAAGGCCCGTTCGCAATCTTGCAACCGAGTACGACCGAGAGAGACGAGACTTGCTAAAACCTCATAAAATTTCTTAGGACGAGAGAACACACTGGCACGCTGGTGCCGTCTATGTGGTGACCCTGGAACTGCATTTCACAAAAGCGAAGGTTTTGCGGTATTCTCGAGGTCGAATCTGCGTAATACCTATAAGAAAGTCTCGCTTGTAACGTTGACAAAAGTTTTTCGAGCCAAGAAAGAAAGGATAATGCGCGAGAGAAATAGAAAATATGCCGGACCGCCAAGTTTACACTGCTACCCAATAGATGGTGCCAGTGTGTCCTCTCGTTGTAAGAGGTTTCAAGGTACCCAATTTTAAGAGGTCGCAAGAGTGTGAACGGGCCTTTGCACCTACGCTCACTTCCGTGTTTGTAGGCATATGTTGCGTTTGCATACATGGGCTTTTTCTCCAGTTGCTCCAGGCCAACACTGAGCCACGCATTCGCCACCTCCACTCTCTACGGTGCTTTGACTACAAAGAGGACGTTGTTCTGCACTTTAAATATCCAAAATGCTCTGTGAAAATTGCAAAAACAACTGAACTGGTCTTCAAGTTCTATGTCGTTGTGGGAGCATTGCGAGTTACTCTCGAAACACGTGGATCACACCGCGCAGGCCACATTGTAAGTAGTTTTGGGTTGAGCAGGAGTCGCCGAGTCTCCGTCCTCCTGCCAGAAAGGGCGCGTCTACACCCTTTTTTAGATTTTTATGGTGGCAGCCCCACCAAAAGACCTCCCTGTTGTTTCTTCTGCAGCTTTCAGGGGTTGTAATTCAACCTTTAAAGTAACTTTTTGAGGGAAGTGTCTTTAGTGAGATCTCTGACATTATAGATGCTTGGTCTCAGCGAGTCCAGTGGGCTCGATGTGTTAGCAACACGGGTTGCATGCAACATGGGTTGACACGGGTTGCATGCAACATGGGTTGACACGGGTTGCACCTGCTTAGTTTGCAGGTCAGGAGCCTCTTCTGGTGTTTTGACGGCATCTTTGAACAACGTGCACTGCCATCGCTTTGTCTTACACTCTAATATCTTCATGTTGTATTGTAAAAAAAGGAATGTCAAATTTAAAATAAAGTTATATGGAAATAATTTTTAGTAATGCCGAGTGCTGTCATGTGGAAGCTGCACATGTCCTAGCAACCTTGCGTATTGCGTGTGCCCAAGAAAACTAGGCTTTCTGTACATTACATAAGAGAACTGTGAATCACGAAAAGCTGAGGCTTTAAGTGAAGATGAACCCAGTGGTGGTGAGTTGAACAAGTCCGAGAATGTGAATTTATCATTGTTGCAAGATAAATGCAAAAATTCATAGCTGTTTGAGGAAGTGTAGCATCTTAGAAATCCAAAGGCACATCCTGTCTGCTGCAAATGAAAGATGCCCTAAGTGAGGCTGTTGAGGGTACACTTCTAACTCTAGAGGGAATGATAAGTATTACAAGTAAGCAAGTCAAATGTATTGGTTATTACCAAACTGCAGGTATTCAACAAGATTAAAAGCATATTATTTCAAAAACATACAGATGATGCATAAAAAAAAATTAGGATAGGTGTAAAAGCACGATGCTACACTACATGTCTTTCTGCGTACGTGTTTACCCATTCAACTGCAGTATGTGTTCTGTGACGTTGCACTTTTTATGTTTTATCATCTGGCTTTTGATTGCACTTTGATTTATGGATCAAATTTGATCTCACGATGTGCGGGTCATCTTTGCAATATGAATAACCCTCAAAGTGTATTTATGACACTCCCGTTGAATCTAACTGTATCGTTGCTTCCTCCTCAGGACGAAGAAGTGCCGGGTCACGTGGCCCACATTTTCTGACTTTGGCGTCGTGCTGAGACCGGTACTGGCACTTTCAACTGGACTTCGATGACAGCTACGCCGATGCCTGACGTCGTCGACGGGTGGTGGCCCGTGGGAACAAGGAAACTTGACAGTGGGTACCGAGGGCGGCAACACCACCAGCTACTGAGCTTCCAGGGTTGTGGGTGAGTTGCGCAACTTTCCTTCGCTGGTATGGCTGAGCCTCTAGATGAAGTGGCCAATTAAGCAGATCTGTAAACCGTGTGGCAGAAAGCCGTCGAGATGGATTAGCCCTCCCTCTTGCGTTGTCTTCGAGCTTCTTACCTGCGGCATTGTTTAGGCATGCTGGTACTTTGTTGCAGCCAATATAAGCCTAAATTCCACAATGCGTGGAGCGCGGTACTGTGAATGGCACCTGTCCCGTTGCTTTACGAACACTCGCGTGTGCCAAGGAAGAGACAAATCCTCTCCAGTGGATTTTGCGCCGCCTTTCACTTCGGGGCCATCTGCTACCAAAATGCAGACTTGGCTGCAGGGCGACGGGGTTACAACTTGCACTTTTCCCTTCATGTTTGATTTTCTTTGAGGGGATTAAACACTAACCGGTTAAGACAAAAAGGCTGGAGCCACTTAATTTGTAGCTGCGATTGTCTTGTTAGAAAGAAATATTGACAGAAAGTTAAGGCTGTCCTTCGTTTGAATAATTGCAAGCTCCCACCAATGGCATAGCCAGAAATTTTTTTCAGGTGGTGTTTGTAGAGACCGGGACCAGACCATCTCAGTTTGGCCGATTGGGCAAAGACCCGCGGCAGTCTTTATTCATGACCTATATGCAAAACGTAACAGTAAGGCGGCGCCCTCTGTGATAGTGTGTTAGAATCAGGTTAGTATTGTTAGGAGAGACACCTGCTGGTAACAAACAACACTACAGTGTTCTCTTTTGATAGTGCGGTTCGACACAAAAATAAATAAAGAACTGTGTACGAACACAACCCTGCGGAAACGCTTTCACTTCACATTTTCACTGATCCCTGCCTAACAAAGAAGCAAGTGTACACACAACTCTATACTCTAAGTGGCTAAGTGAACACACTGATGCATGAGTGCCCAAAGGGCACAGATACAATAAATAAGATTTATATGTAAAGGTTTTGCTCCTACAAGTGTGAGCGGCTGGATGGATAGCTTCATACGATGCAGCTTGTGCAGTCCAATTGCCTGCTGACAAAAAAATAATAGTAATAATGTAGTCATAATTTGTTTATTTAATGTGCCAAAAAACAACCACGCAGGTCTTCACATTGGCGCACAAAGTTCTGATTATAGCACTTCTGCAACCGCCTCTTCACCTTTGTTCGTGAAGGCGCCCCACGTTCGTCAATCGGGTTATTTGTCCCTTGACGGGCTGCGGTTCCAATCTGCCGGCACCTTGAAGCAACTTCTTTAGGACTGATATGATAGGTTTATCGCATATTTACAACAAGCAGCATGTTGAGTCCCATTCGGGGTCTGCCCTCTAACAAAAGAATCTCTTGCTTTTATAACATTCACCCAAGGGCAAGTATGAGACGTCCGTCATGTAGGCCATGTGGCCCGCATGCAGCTAGCAGTGTCATGTTACACTGGAACGTGCCACATCGCCGCTCGAATGAGGCGCCCACGGGCCAGAGCTTGGGCATCCCGACAGTAGTCCAAGGCCGAGGAAGCGACGGGGTGTGTTGTCGGCCTCATCCAGTGCACTAGGCCAAGGCCGGAGCGTGGTGCCACACATGAAGCACTTCCAAAAACCACACCAGCGTTCCCCGGTCCGTGTGTGGTTGACGTCATCGCAGTCTGCCTTTGAGGTTAGCGCTGCTGCTTGGTGCTGCGTCTTGAACAAGCGGCTTGAGCACGACGTGACGGCCTTGCCTTCTTTCGCCACGCGCTCCCTCCGTACAGGTGCAGTTGAGCCCGATACCTCCCTTCTGACTGTGATGCGCGCCACATTGGGTCCGTGTGTAGACTATCCCCCCGTTCCCGCAAACACAAGTCATGACAAAGCCTTGAATACCCCGAATTTCCCTATCCGCCTGCATCCTCAGGCCCCTACTCTGTTTTTTCGTTGGCACCCATCAGCCTCAACAGAGCATCCGCGTTCGCGTTTTTGACTCTCCTTTTCTGCTCAAAGGTCAAATTGAATCTGTAGCGCTAGAGCCCATCGAGTCAGCTTCGCGCTGTGCAAACCGCTCAGAGATTGATACTTTAGTGGATTGTGGTCAGTCACCACGCAGACCTGTGCGCCAAAAAGCCAGACCTCCAATTTATCCAATGCCCAGATGATTGCGTAGGCCTCCTTTTCTATTGTGGCCGGCGAGCCTGGGTCGGGCTGAGCTTCTTGCTTAATAATGCAACCTAACACTCCTTGCCCTGGTCATTGCGCTGTGCAAGACACGCTCAGACAGCAGATTCGGAGACGTCGGTGACAAGGATGTATTCACGATTAAGGTCTGGTGCGTGGAGTGATGCCGCACGCTTGTCGCAGTCCTTTATGTTTTCGAGTGCGTTCTGCACCTCGGTATCCCACGGCAACTGTTGTGGTGTTTGCCTATTGGTCAGATTAGTGAGAGGTAGCACTATGCGGTCGTACTCCGGGACATACTGGCGGTACTAGTTGGCTAGCCCCAAGAGATTCCGGAGTTCCCTTTTGGTCTGCGGTATTTCCTCAATCACCCTGACCTTCGCTGGGTCTACACTGTGTTTTTAGGAGTCTACAACATGCACCAGAAACTCAACCTCTGGTTTCGCAAAACGACACTTGGCTGCATTTACTCTAAAGCCCGTGGCTCCGACTGCAGGGAGCACCTCTCAAGGTGCTGGAGGTGCTCCTCGCATGCCTCAAAGAAAACAGCGAGATTGTCAATATATGCGCACGCGTATTCCCTGTGGGGTGCTAGCACACCATTGATAATTCTCTGGAACATAGAGCTCACGTTCCTCAGTCCAAATGGCATCACCCTCCACGTGTACTGCCCAATTGGTGTCGCAAATGCCAAGACAGCTTGTGCCTGCTCATCCAGTGGTATTTGCCAATATCCCCTTAACATATCAATCAAGGTTGTATACTTCGCCTTTGCTACCTGCAGCAGCAACCCGGAGGGTAGACTCATTGAGAATGCGTCTGGTTTGGTGATGTTGTTGAGCTTATGATAATCGCAGCACAGCCTCAGCCCACCCATTTTGTTTGCTTACGCATACGATTGGATACGCGTGCGGGCTCTCAACGGGGTATATCAGGCCCCACGTCAACAGCTCCTGTACTTGTTGTTCGGCTTCCTTTCTGAAAGCCATTGGTACCTTTTACGCATGAACGTGTTGTCGCGCTGCGTCCCTCTGACCTTAATTTTGTGCATGCCAACTGTGCACCTTTTTGGCCTGTCCCCGAAGACCTGGCCGGGCCTAGCGATGAGCGCAGTAACCTCAGCGCGCTGCGACGGTTTCAAGTAACCCAATGCAGCGAGCGGTATTCAATGGTTTCGTTCATCTTGCGTTGGAAATGTTTGGATGTCCCCAAAATCACTGTCACCTTCGAAAATCACGCCCACAACGCCAGCACGGGCGTGGAACGCACGAAGCTTGTTTGCATGCACTGATCGAGCTGTCCCATCCTCCTTCTCAATCAACTGTACGGCTGTAACCTGTGGACTATCTTAGCCGGTCCTCTCCACTTTGCCACTAATTTGCTGCTTTTCACTAAACTGTTTGTCTGTCGCCCGCAGATTATACCTGCTTTCGTACCTACATTGCTCTACCGTAGTACCGTAGTAGCCCTTGCATTTGCCTCAACTAACCTTTCGCGCAAGCGCGATAGGTATTTCTTTGTGGACATGCCCTGAGTGTCCGGGACAGCCCAATCGCCAGACCGTGTCTTTTGAAGTATCGAGAGTGGCCCCACTGGTACCCTCTCGTACATCAGCTCAAACGGCGATTTACCCGTCGTTACTTTCGGGACCTCTCTGTAAGCCCAAAGCAGGAACAGTACAAACTTGTCCCATTCCCGTCCATGCTCCCTCACAATGCGAAAAAGCATTTACTTGAATGTTCCATTCCAACAATTGTCAAGTCCGTTACTCTGTGGGCGGTCCAGCGTGGAGAACCTCGGGCACGCTCCTAGCTTTGTGAGAAACTTTTTGGTCACCTTTGCCGTGAAATTTGTCCCCTGATCACTACACACCGTCTTGAGGACTCCAAGACACGCAAAGATTTTCAATAACGCATCACACGTGACCTTTGCTGTCAGTGTCTTGAGGCACACTAGTTCTGGTTATCTTGTGTTAACGTCTACTACGCACAATTCGTATCTGCGACCCCATACTGATGGCGGGTCAATCGGACCGATGCAGTCCATGTTGACCACTTGAAAATTGGTTCCCGGTCTGGCTAGTGGCGTGATTGGTACGCAGTCCAGCGTATGGGCTGGGGACTCCACCTGACACGAAACACGAATGCCAGTATTCTCTTCAGTCCTGCGTTATACTTGGCCAGAAAAAGGAGCAATTTATACATGGCAGCGTTTTCCGCCCACGGCAAATCGTGTGCAATCTTCAGCACCTTTGAGTGGCGATCTGACAATAGCACGAGTTGACAGCTCTGATGTCCTGTGATCGGTTCCTGATGGAACAGCAACTCGCCACGTATTGCCATGCCATGCGTCCCCTCCTAGCCTGTGCCCACGCCTCACGCAATGACTCATCTGCCAATTACGCCTCGCGAAACTGTTAATGCATCGTTCGCGTTTGCGCACTACCGTACTCCAAGCTCTCAGCCTTCACCGCGCAAGACGGTGCATTTTTGGCGCATTCCGGTTTGTCGGAGCTTTCTTCCTCTTCCATGTCCTCACCACGCAGTTCTGTGTTCTCGTGAACTTTCCATTTCACTCTCTCCTTGAGCAGCTGGTCGTAGTCCTCGAGAGTGATCAATACATCTATAACATCAATACATCGGTTATAACGAAGCCCATGGGAATCGGAAATCTCTTCACTATATCCGCTATTTGCTATAACCGACTTCGGTTAACGAAGTGCAAAAGGCAATGGGAAATCATGATTGCATCGCTGTAGCCGCTATTTCATTATAACCGACTTCGTTATAAACGGTCTCGACAGTACTCCCGTGACTAGCCTGTCGGTAAGCACACACACGACTCCTC